CAGCACACACACCTGTAGCTGGGCATTATGTGCCACTGTGAGAAAACCGCTTCTCGGAAACCCTATGCAGGGTTGCTATGAATCAAAACTCTACACGGAACAACAAATGAGAAAACGGAAACGATGGGGAAATTCTGTCGTAACCATCTGGTTGGGGTTAGGAGTCGGGAGAGGGGATACCACCAGATCTAAAAGTCATGGCCTAAGATGCCTAACATTGTTTTTTAGAAGAAAGAAAGAAACCGGAATTTGTCCTAGGGCTTCAACCAGGTTTCCTGGGAACAAAAGTGCATCATGTCCTGTAGTCTAAACTGATACTCTCTTCACTGGTACTAAAATTTGGAATTGACTTTTTTTTCTAATAACAGTGGAGCCTGGGGGAAAAATTCACTTAACCTTAAAAATGTAAACATTGTAATGCCTTATATTTTTGTAAGCACCATCCAGTCAGTTCTGATTCAAAGTGAAATTATATAGGGTTTCCAAGGAGCAGCCGGTGCATTAAACAAACCATAGGCCTTGTGGTTAGCAGTCCAGTGCTTATCCTACAGTGACACACCAGGACTCATATCGTTCTTGCTGTGATGCTGTAGAATAAGCACTAGACTACTAACCACAAGGTCAACAATTCAACCAGGTGCTTCTGGGAAACCTGGACAGAGGTCGCTCAGTCAGAATTGATTCAAAGACACTTAACAAGTATATATGCAACCTTCACCATAGTTTGTACTCATATTGTTGCATCTTCAGTATGTTTTTACTTTTATTCATTTGTGAAGTTACTATCGTTTGTTTGAATGGATTAGTTCCAAGAGTCTTTAATCTCTTATGCTAGGCTGTGAAGTTTTAGTAGGCAAGAACCATGTAAGGCAAGGTTGGATTGGCTGGCATAAACATTTATGTTATGTGTTAAGCCCTGGGCATAAAAAATGAGTAAATACTTACACAAGTCAAAGATTTATAATATGGTGGTAGATACAGATCTACCACTTGTCTGTTAGTTCACTGTACTTTGGTGACTTATGTATTGCTATGATGCTGGAAGCTATGTCACTGGTATTTTGAAGGCCGGCAGGGCCACCCACGGTGGACAGATTTCAACTGAGCTTCCAGACTAAAACAGAATTGGGAAAACCAGAGGCAGACTGCTACTAATGATTAGCCACTGAAAAGCCCATGAATAGTAGTGAAACACTGTCAGATAGCATCAGAATATTGAAACATGAATAGCACCAGAATATTGTCAGATACAGTGCCGGAAGATGAGATCCTCAGGTTGGAAGGCTCTCAAAATATGACTGGGGAAGAGCTGCCTCCTTAAAGTAGAGTTGATTGTGATGATGGGAGTGTGGAGTAAAGCATTTGGGACCTTCATTTGCTGATGGGGCACAACTCAGAATGAGAAGAAACAGAGGCAAACATTCATTAATAATTGGAACTTGGAATTTACGAAGTATGAATCTAGGAAAATGTGATGTCAAAAATAAAATGGAATGTATAAACATCGATATCATAAGCATTAGTGAGCTGAAATGGACTGGAATTGGTCATTTTGAATTTGACAATCGTACGGTTTACTATGCCAGGAATGACAAAGAGAAGTAGCATCACATTCATAATTAAAAAGAACACTTCAAGATCTATCTTGAAATATAATGCTGTCTGTGATAGGATAATACCCATATGCCTACAAGGAAAACCAATTAATACCAATATTACTCAAACTTATGCAACAACCATTAAAGCCAGTGATAATGACATTAAGGAATTCTACCAACTTCTTCAATCTGAAATTGATAAAAAATGCTCAAGATGTGTTGATAATTACTGGTGATGGGAATGCAACAGTTAGAAATGAAGAAGGATCAGTAATTGAAAAATAAAGCCTTGGTGATAGAAATGCTGCTGCAGATTCTAGGATAGAATTTTGCAAGACCAATGACTTCT